GTCCCTTGGTTGTGTCTCCGACGACGGTTAGGTTGGGCTGAGATGGAATTGCGTGGGCTGCTCTTAACTCTTACTTTTGCTGCTGCAGTTGAATATTTTCACAATAAACTTTTAAAATTTTTGTATATTTCATACTTTTTTCTCTTTGTATATTTTAGTTTTGTTTTACAACAAATTTGCTGTTTCAACGTAATCTTGACATTATTTGATTAAGGTATGCATTGTGCTATTATTCCATCAGTCCACTAACATATGTGGAACACCTACTGATAGCTGTATGTGCACATGCACCCAAATTCCTTAGATTTAATTTATTATTCATACATTTTACAATGAAGTCAAGTGTTGATAAAGTAATAGAAGAAAAAAAAAACGAATAGAACTCCATGTAAAGTAAGTTGAGAAAGAATAGTTATATATTCTATATTTTTGTTTATATTGATTTTAAATGACAAAATGTACTTGTTTTGTGTTTCTGTAAAAACACTACATTATCTTTTAAAGAAAAACATATTTATATATTTTTAATAGATTATATAAGATAACATTGGAGTTATGTTTTTCAAACAGTATTTCCATAGATCTTAATAGCTCTTAAGTACTCCTCGTAGCCCTTTAAAAGTGAGCACGTGTAGTCATTGCTACAAAGGCCACTATTTATTTTTAAGTCTACTTATAAAAAAAGTTACTGTTTTAACTTTTTTCGCTTTTCTGATCTATATACTTTTGAACGCATTTCTAGTATTTATCAGAGCATTATTTCTATTCCGCTTTAAAGAGCTTTGAATCATTGCTTTTATGTACGGGAATCAAAGTAAGCGTTTGTTTGCCAAATGATGACTACGGTGCATGACATCCTAATTCGATGTATTATGTGAGAGCTGTCATTGCCAATATACAAATTATCAGTCTTTGCAAGTTACTTTTTTTCGATCTCACATTACTTTTGAGTCACTGTAAACAATACAAATCACAATCAAATAATGAAATATTCTAAATAAGTAGGATCATGTTACACAGTAATATGAATTTTTTTTTTGACAGTAGGTGGAAGCATCGGAAGCCACCGTGTGAGACTTGAACCCACTAAACCACCTCTTGGGAATGAATGGAGAAGATTTCCACAGCACTGTGAAAACTTCATTCCAGTACCTAACGAGCTAGATTTATCTAAGCCAGAAAGCAAGGGCGCACATTTGGGAAATAGGGTAATAGAGAAGGGGGTGGGGTTAGAGCAGGTGAGCGGAGGCAAGATTAACGATAAACTTTGTGACTGGGGTCACGAAAGCCGCGGTTATATAAGGGAATGGAGTGGAGGTCGAGGTAGTGGAAAATGTATTGGGGTGGTTTAAAGCGCAAGGCTAGAACAAGATCTCCAGAACACAGACGTCAGGGGGGAGGCCATGAAGCCAGGTGAGATAAAGCTGGTGATGAATGGTCACAGTAACTTTATACTGGTTTGAGTCGATCAAAAGACATGTTACACAGAGAGCTATATTACAAGTATCGATTTCTTACCTTTATTACAATTTTGATACTTTTTTTTCGAGAATTTTTTTTTTGATTTTTCTTTTTTTACTCGTCACCGTGACTAAATTTATACCGAAATTTCTCTCTTCCACTTGTTTTCAATTTTTTAATTTATAATTAACGCAACAACAATTTTATCTCTGAGTCATAGTCACATGACTCTCTGAATATAGTTTTAAGGCAGAGGCCAAAACTGTCAAACATTCAAGTAAAAATATCAATTGCTAAATAAAATTTAGTTTTGCTAATGCTTACAATATTAACAGTAACTAGTCCATTAAGTTTCAGAATGACTCTTGCAGAATATATCTAATTGGCGTTATAATGATTAGTTCCTGCATTTCAAATATAAGGCTGTAACTAAACATTTGCATTAATATATGTTGGTAGGTCCAAAAAAGTTCGTAAAGTGAATTATACCCTAAGATAATAACACACTATATTTATTTTTTTTGATTTTTTTTATTTATTTTCAAACACCCATACATCCCTTTTTTTTCTGAAAAGAAATATCATTTTCGTTTATGTTTTGGTATCAAAATTTTTGCTTTGAGAAAGTCATAATAACCTTCTGATACTATTAATAATATTAGTTAATTTTGTTTTTAATAATTTTTACTTTAAAGTGCATATTTAACATAATACCCAGTTAAATGTTTATTAATATGAAAATTGGAATAATGTCGACGAAATGCTGACATCTGGAAGTTGTCCTCTTTTATATAGATAATAATCTGGCGAACTCATTAAAAAGCTACATAAAGATATTAGTCAGTCGATTATTCACATTTATTTTTTATGACTCTTGGGACAGATGTGTAGAAGATTATGAAATTGCTTTATTTAACCGTGCTGATCATTCGCAATCTAGATTAAGCATAGTAAGCCGCGGGGCTTTTGCTAAAAGAATTCTTTTGGCTTTACTAAACGTTTGAAGAGGTTATTAGTACCACGATTTATGTGAATCTGTTCAATGGACCAATAAACTTAAGTAAATTTTCAAGATCACCGTAATAAATCAATTGTTTATTTATTCAATTATCGAAATACTTATCTTTCTTTATATATTGCCATGGTATGAAAGGTGTTCGGTAAAGCTAATATCATAATTAAGTAGTTCCATTTTCTTTAAACAAATATTGTCATCAAATGTATTAAACTAAAGTATTAAATAACTCCTAAATGTATGTAGCGAACCTTTTTCGCAGAGATTTAGATCTCCGGATTCTAGGTTCAGTCTTCCGTTCGTCCATGTGATAGTGTTCAAAATATGTTTATATATATATTTTCAAGTTTTTAAAAAAGCATCACTGATTTGAAGAGTTTGACCTTAAGAACAAAAATTTGAATTACTCGAATATTTACCGGACACATCTCGTAAAGTTCAGAGACGATTCTTATATCTAAAACAATAGAAATTGTATACGAGAAAAAAATCAGCATTTACCAAGTTACAGGGTGTCATCGAAAGGTCGACAACAAAACAAAAAAAATCCATGTTGGTACGCATTATTTCGATAATTTAATTTGATTAAATGCCATTATCATGTAATTGTTTCTCTTAAGATGTTTCTCTTAGTACAATTCACACTTAATTTAGAAATGTTTTATCTTCTATAAAATAAGAATTCTATGTTTACTTTTATTGTTTTATAAATTACAAAATACTAAATATGAAACTGAAATATAAAATTTATTTATTATATGTATAAGCAAGAAATAAAATAAATTATTTAATACAAATATAAATAAATATATATTAATTATAAACTAATATAAATAAATATACATAAATAATTATGGTCAGCCAAAAATTCACTTAATTAAAAATAAAAAAAAGTTTTTGTTGTTGCTATTTCACTATTGTTCTATAAAAACTTTTCTATTTAAAACAACTTTTCTGAAAATTTCTCTATTTTTATTAAGAATTTAGTTTCTTTCGGCAAAATGAACGTTAAAAATCAATTTAATATAAATAAATATATAATTAATTTCAGCAAAAATTATATAAATATTTAAACCATGTAATATATACTAAAAAATCTTTAATTTTAAAATATTATTTTGAATTATTACTCATATGTACATTTCAATATTTGCTAGCATTAAATTGTAAAGAAAATAAATGAAAAAATAATAGTTAAGATATAAAATTTTTAATTTATTTTTTAGAGAAAAAACCAAATAAAATTTATTTATTACTTACCTTAGCTATCAACTACTGTCATTTATATTGAAACATATTGTTTTTATGAACACCTAAGTGAATGCATATTTAAGTGTAAATAAATAGGAAATTAGCTAATCTGTAATGGCAGAAATCCATTTCGAAAGAAAGTAAAGTTAAAGCACTGGGCCGATGACGTAGCATCCAAGCAAGGTCAAATCGGTTATCGAGCTCCCTACAAGCAATAAAAATAAATTGTTATGCATTAATGCATTTTAAATAAGTGTGAGTTAAATGGGAAGAAATATCAAGCCAGAGGCAAGGGGAAGAGATATAGCAGCAAAAAGAGTTAACATATTTCTTCGCACGACCATTCAGTCTTTCAGTTCCTAAATCAAAATTACCGCAATTGTGCTGCCACACCGATTGCAGTCAGAAGAGGCATAAGAAAACTAAAAATAAAAACTTTCACGGCAAAATAAACCAAATGCGATAACTAAACTGTACACGTAGTTCACATACCAACACCATAAGAAATTGCGAAAATGATGAAAATGTGCATGAAGGCATTTTCCAGATAACTCTTAACGGCATGCAACATGCCACAACAATAGTGGTCAATTGGCACTAAACAACCGCCACGATATCCAATACTAAGACAGATTAAACTAACTGCAATAGTAAATGCTGTGGCATGATATCCCAAAGGAATTAAGTTGAGGAATTTCAGTACACAGGACTCCAGCGTCACTCTGAAACGCAACACACATTCTAAGCATCATTTAACCATAATAGTTAATTTCTAAGCGCCTTGCGCTCAAAAAAGTAGCGAAACAATTTTAACAGAGCAGCAACTGTTTACCTCATAATGCAAAGCGTTTTGAGCAATTGCCGCTGCTGCGGTGGCAGTAGTTGTCCACTGGTGCCACTGCAACCTTATATGGCAGCAAATATTCGCTTCGGTTTGATCACTCTCCAAGGGCCCGAAGCTGGGGAGCGGCGGCAACAGCTGATGCAATCGCATTAATTAAGTGCAACAATGCGTTTCTGCTGTTGATCGCCATTTGCAGTTACAATTGCTGCTGTTGCTGTTGCCGATGCCATTGCTTTCGGATTAATGGGATTTCTCACGCATCCCGACACATGCATACATCAGTTGGACCGAGGGAGAGGAGTGCTGTCCGGGATGCATTGCCTTGCAACATTGATGCATGCATGCACAATTGAAAAATTAATTGAAATTAAAATAAAATAATACAAAAAATAGTATTAAAGAAAATGAGAAAAAATTAAAAATATTTACTTAATTGCAATTGTTTATCTTTAAGATGCTTTTCACTCTCCACTGCATTTGCTGTCGCTCGTGATTGCATTGCATTGCATCGCGTTTCGCAGATTGTCGCTCAATTAGAGTCGCCTTTATATCACAAGTCAATCACATTAGATTTTTCTATTAATTTTTTATATATCATTTCGATGTACGCAACGCATGAAAATATCAGCAGAGATTTTCATTACGATTTGTCTGATGGCATTGCGGATGCGTCTGCCATTGGAGCCCCTTTCGCATATTGCGATTCGCATTTAACTGTTGTTGTTGTTGTTGTAGTTGGTGCTGCTGGTTTTGCTGTCATCTCAGTTATTGTTGCTGCCATGTTATCCATTGCGGCATCATTTATTTCGCCAGTGACAGCACAGCGTGAAAACTTTGTTTATATCCGTTCTTGCATTTTGCAGTTTTTATGTTTATCTGCTCACTTGGTTGAGTGCTTGAGTGCCATTGGACGTTTGGCTTCGCCCGTCCGTCCATTGTCAGTTTACCGGCATCACGTACCGCTGTCACATACTTTTTCCCAAGCGATTAATTATTTACGGTTTTCAGTGTTTAAAATTGCTTGCGCTTGGCAGCAATTAGATAAAAGCCAACATTTTCATTTTTTATATCGAAGTTCTCGTATCAGATTTTTTATATATCAAATTAGATAAATTTTATACATTTTTATGTTCAAAGACATTATATTCTTCTTATTTATCAACTAATTTAAAACAACGTTTTTTTCTTTTAATTTTGTTTATATGAAGTAATCTCGGCTAGTTTTTTGTCGGGATAACTGCTTAAATGAAATGAAATACTTCAAAAAGTAGTCATAATGAGGCCTTCAAAAAGTAGTGAACTACAACAACAAAAATTTTTATATCATTTTAATTAATTGAGTTTTGACCTGACCATTATCAGTGATCTTGGAAATACCATAATTCTTGTATTTAATTATTCGTAGTTAATTTTTTAAAACTGCAGGTACCAGAAATCGAACTCGTGCCCTGCTAAATTTGAAACTCAAAGTCAGCGCTCCTTAACCAACGGAACCCCAAAGCCATACTTGACTTTTTTGATCGCACATTTTTCTGGAGTTTTGTTAATATGATGGAGAAAGTTTTATAACCAAATCCACTTGCTGTGTTTATATTAGTACGAAATCATAAACCAGCTGTAGAATAATTGAACTAATTAATTGTATTTTATTTTTAATTGTTCAATTTCAATACTATTATAGTATCGATGTAAATTAGAATCAAGGATTAAATCAAGTTACACCCCAAAAAAAAAATTTAAACTAACTTTTGAAATACTATACTCACCTTTCGTTTTTTGAAGCTCTATTTCCTTATTTTTGCATAAATATTCCGTTGTTTTATTTATATAGATATGAGCTCAGATTAAAAAGAGCTTCAGAAAAATTTCCAATATGGCTACAACAAATAAGCATTGCTCTACATATTTCTTCATTAATCCTTTTAATTAATTTTCTAATAGTCGACATACTAATATAGACCATATTGGAGGCCAAAGTTGGTACTACAAAATGTAAACACCAGAGTATTCATATGCTCAAGAAAGTCTTTCTTCGAAAATGAACATAACAGTTTGAAAACAGAATCAATAAGATCATTCTGCAGTATCGAGGAAAGACACCTAATATTAACAAATCTCTATTAGGTACTTCTGTAACGTTAGCAAGGAAGGAGAAGATATGTACTGTATCAAAATCTGTTTCACGAGTTTTGGAATATTTTCAACATATGGGATAAAATATATTTATTTCTCATGTTATGATAATAGGTCACAGAGGTCTGTGAAGCTCAAATTATCTAATAATTAAATCATACTTTATATAACGAGTAATTTTTTTGGAGATTTGATTTTAGGGTAATAACCCTAGCGTTATTACTTCAGCATGTTGAATCTATCAGAATTATATGTCGCCTTTATTAAGAAAGATATAATGGTTTCTATCATAATTTTTGCAAAATGTTCAGTTTTGAATTCGGTCAAGAAGGTAACTTTTTTCCGGACAGGAATTTTTTTCCCGTGGCATTAAGTAAATCTGAACTAGAGACAAATTCATATATTTTCGAAAGGCTAAATGTTTCATGTCCATTTATCTTCTACTTTTTTCTACTTCTACTTTCTATTTTCGATTGATAAATCTCGATTTATTTTATCTTGATCTTTCAAAGTTTGGTACGCAATCGAACGTTTCTAGAGTAATCTAGTGTAGTTATATTAGTAGGCATTTATATTTTTCATAAATACATATGGCGTATAAAATCACACTTCTTCTACCAAATTATTTAAAAGAGCTATAGATTTAAGGGTACTCTTCGTACTCTGCCAAAATATCTAGAGTATTATAAATTATAATAAATTATAATACTCGAAATTTTCTAATCGAAAATGAAAATAGCACTAAAAGTAAAACTCGAGTGAAAAAGTAATACCAAATTCACCATTCGAAAACGACATTACTCTATAGCAGACCCTACATGGTCTACATGTTACATTTTGAATACGAATTATATTTTTATGTTACCAAAGCATATATTATTCTAAAATCTATTATAAGATAAAATTTTCTTTTTTCATTTAAAACAAATATTTCTTAAAGTCCGATGGACAAATATCAACAGGTCATCAGATATTCACACTTTGGCACACCAGATATTCAGACATTAGCAGGTCAGATATTCATTCGTCTAGATAAAGAATGTGCTACAAAAAATGGGTTCACATGAAAGAAATACCAATTATATGATAACATCGTCTGCAATAAGAATATATAGAGCTAGACATAAAGTATGATGACACGACCTTGAAGTGATACAATACTTTAACTATTTCAAATCCATTAGAAGATCCAACAGCAGATAACACGGATGAAAAAAACAAGTTAAAAATGTTTTAATTTTTTTAGATATTTTTGATATCATATATCCAGAGTAATACAACATTAGAAATGTATCACCTTTCATGATACATTTCATGTACAGGAGGGACTAAATATCTTATGTTGATAACAATAATTGAATAAGAATGTATTTGTTTAACCACAATTCCTTTTATTTTACCTTGATAGAGATCAGCTTATCTGATTTAATAAACGAATATACAAGAATTATAACACCATATTTATATTTTAATATTATTTTGCTTTTGGTAACATAGAAATCTGATAAGAAATATGTTTGTGTTTCATTAAAACAAAAATTTCTTGGTATATTTAGAGACCATAAGCTATAAATTTAAAGACTTAAACTGACTTTTTAATTTTTTTTCTTAGTACAACTCTTTGTACATATTAATTTTGTAGTTACGTCTATTTTAAATTAAAATTAAAGCACGGCATAGAATAAAGATAATTTGACAGAGGAGCATCTGTCATAACCATTTAACATCAAAATTAATTACGCGCCACTAATCAAAATATACGAGGAATGAGTGATTGCTGATTAAATGGCATATTATAACGTTTGCAATGATATTTGTGGGTATCCAATAGGGTTGCCAACTAGGTTGAAAAAATAGATTTTTACAATTTCCAAGTTTATTTCTAACAAAATGATCGAACCTTCCGTAAGCTCTAGTTGATTGGCTGTTCTAAGAATTAAGTTACAGTAGTGGGTTTAAGTATGTCTGAACTCTTTAAAATTGATTAATATATTTTACCTGAAAGCAATATTTGGATAGATTTAATGGATTTAAAAATCATCAGTCCATCACTGGAACAAAAGTATTACATTGCACATTTTTAAATGATGTCAAAAAGGTTTATATACTCACAGAAGAGATGAGATCATGTATACAATACCATATTTTCAAATTAATTTCTAACAGTCCCATTGTATTCAAAAGAATTTTATTTAATTTAATCCAGTTTCAGTTTTAATTTTTAACTATGATTATGTAGTCAAAATATGTACGCAATGCTTTCCGAGTAAACTATGTCCAAGAAATGTCTACATTAAAAAATCATTAAATTAAATAATCTCTGCTGTTTGTTGGCGCAGAACCAATCCGTGCATTTGGAGGAGTTTATTTCTTCTTACCTATTCAATAAGAAGAAAAGATAGAAATTTAGGTATATTGATATAATCTACCGAGAATATTATAATCGTAATGGCTTATAGGGCCTTTCAAGATTAAACGAATTAAGAGTATAGCAACAAAGTAAAAGTAATTTAATCATTAGAGGAATTTCAACAGTACACGGTGGGTTAAACTATCACTACACCAAACTGATAATATACTTTATCAATTTTATAGATGTCTTTGTATATAATTGCTGATGTCTTAATTATAAGAATCTGGCAACTCTGTTTTCAATGGTATAAAGTTAAATTAGCAAAAAATTTAAACACTGAAACCTGATACAGGCCCTTCCAGGACAAGTACCTAAATATGCAGCCGTTTGCAATGCATTCTATCCACTTTGGTCTAATCCACTTAAGCGTGTTTGCAGCAATTCATCATAATTCCAGCCGCTTTGGGCCAGAAAATTTTAATTTATGCAAAAAGTATTAAATGCGAGTGTAATAATGTGTAAAGAAATAAGTAACCACGAGAAGCACATGTGAACTCGTTACAAAGTATAAAAATGGAAATTATGGTCCATACATCTACTCATAGACTATTCAAGATTTTATGTATGTAAGTGTGTGTATAAGTCAGAAGTACATATGTAGATTTAGCCTAAAGTGTGGGCTGTACTACAAGGAAATGTGTTAAATTTTCCATTTGTGCCAATCGATTTCAATTAATTTGAAATGGGCGCGCGCTTGCACTCCGAAAGAAGGTGGCTGTCTGTTCTCTTTGACAGCGTCTATGAAGCAGTGCTAAATTTCCACGTTGTAAATATTTCTGAAATCCATACATAGCGACGACATATTGGCGCCACAATACAATATATGATTAAGTACGTTTTTATCTGCGGCGACTCCCAATACAAGTGGCAGCATCTGGTAGCTGTGCAAAAATTATGACACTGAGAAACGCTCGTAAAAATGTTGCTACCAGGTATTTTCGAAATAGACGACG